TCACATGTATTTTCCCTGTCACCACTCAACAATAAAACCTTGTAATAACCAAGAGTGCCGACGACAACAATCAAATGTCAAAACCCTTTTGCTCCAACTCTGTGTTTTGCATAAGTTCAAACGATAGATGGTCAAAACAGGGGCAATCAGCAGTGGCAGATCCAGACCTTCAGATAAGGGGGAAAGTCATCCAGACCCTGAGATAAGGGAGGGTCCGGTCTCCAAAAAATTTTTTGTTCGGGCCTCATTTTGGTCGAAAAATAAGGGGGGCCAGGCCCCTCCCCTGGATCTGCCACTGATCAGATTACAAGAGATAGAAGGTCCAAACAAGCATGATCAGCTTGCATTCTGTGCATTCCATTCATTCTTAGTGGAGGTCCAACTAAAGTGGGCTATATACTTGCTGTGCATTTATCATAGCAACCTAGAAATTAGGATGGAGGGCCCCTCTTCTCATCTGCATTAATAGAGACCTTTAGATTAGAGGACGAGGACAACTATGAGAACGAGATTTGACTTATATTTTTTTCGCTTATTCTCAAAATATAGACTCCCCGGAAAGCTTCATTTTACCATTTTTCAATAGTTACCACTGTTACCTTTAGTGAAGGAGGTTATACCCTCTCCCAATCGCAAAATGATCAAACTTCTAACATTTGATAACTTGTTTCCGCCACTTCGACATTCTGGCTAAAACTTGTAGTAGAATGACAAGAGCTACCATGATTTCCCGCCAAAATGACGCTGCCCCACGCGCGAGTACTACTTACTATTGAGAAAATCTCGTACTCATAGTCATACTCATCTTAGAATCTAAAGGTCTGTAAAAACTTCAACTCAAAAAGTGCAGAGGGTGGAGTGGTACCTTTCCCAGTGCCTACCTGGGGCAGTTGTGTCCTCCCTCCAAAGTAAAATAATATATTATTGTCAGATAATCTAAAACAGTGGCTCATCAACCAAATTTTGCCATTTATAAAACATCAATATCGACTTACTTGAGTATGGTTTGCTGAAGACCAGCTTTCTTTTCTTTCTCTGTATTAACAGCTCTGAGAAGGGCATCAAATGATTTGCTAGAGACAACTTCATCCAAGGTTTCTTCCATTATGTCTTGAAGAAATTTTCTGTGCAGGTTAAATTATAGTTTAATAAAAGTAACCTACATGTAAATTACTTTCACCTAATATTTAAAACAAACCCAAAGGTGTACTTGCAACAATTTATACTAGTTCTTAAAAGTTTGTGATTTGGTGGCACATACTTTAGCTCCAATTGCAGTGAAACTTTCCAGTCAGTCTATTTAGTCTTACCTTGAACAAATGAAAAAGTTAGGCTAGGGAATCAAAAAGTTTGTTGAGACCCCTTTTTTCTTAAAACTGAAACTTACATTAAATAACATTGAAAGCGGTGTCTGCAATAAAGCCCTATTGCCTTCTGATAAAATGCTAGATTCTCCTTCCAGTTACCTTGTATAATCAAAAGTAGAATTTGGTATTAGATATTGAGTCCCTTAGGGCCTTTCTACACTGTTTTAAATAAATGAAAAAATTATGTTCAGTACCTGTCTGCTTGAATTTTTGAGAGGCTGTCACTTGTCAATGGATTTTGTCTGAAACTTCTGTTTAGGGCTGTTCAGGCATTAAAGAAAGAAGAAAAAAGTCTAATTAGCAAGCTTAGGTGTACTAAGATATTATAATAATTGGTTGCATCATTTGGTAACGCACAGGCTGCATTTTAGGAGTTCTAACTCTTCAAGGGAGAGAATATTTTATACGTGTGTTTGTAACCTGGAAATGTATGAAATTCAGCTGAACATGGTGATAAAATGAGGAACATTGAGGTTTCAGGTGAATGGTATGTAATCAGTCAAAATGGCATCACATGATGTGGCTAAGATGGACGGTCGTGTGTTTGAGTGCTCCACGTAACATTTCGTAAATTTCTAATGTTTAAGTGTTCCTTCTGCTTTATTCTATTTGTTTGGTTATCTTGTTTCGTGTTATGTACTTGCCTTGGTTTAAGTTAGTTTAAATTCTATTTACTGTATAGTAGTGTCTTCACTGTTATTTAGTCCATCTATATATAAATCTTGTTTTGTAATACGTCTTCAGCTCCCCCCACCTCAATTAGTTTATAAGCTATTTGCGGGTGGGAAAGTAATGTAATTTAAGTTATTTTCTAATTTTCAATAAAATTTGTTGTTGTTGTTGTTGTTGTCAGCCAGAACACAAAGAAAATACTATCCACTGCTTTGGTAATACAGCAACCAACAATCGTACCATTTGTACTCTCTCGGAGTGATTTAGCTACAGACTGTATCTGTCCATCATCCACCACCCTTAATTGACTCTTGTTAGTAGAACTGGGATCATCTTTATGTGCCATTAGCTACAATAAAAATATATGTCTCGCATTATAAAAATATTAAAGTTAAAAATAAATAATTACAAGAAATGTGTAAATCACAGGACCTCACGAAGGACTTCGGGAGAACGGCAAGAAGTTGAAAGGGAAATAAGGCAATAAGGGAGATAATTTATAATATCTCATATACCGTATGTATCATGTACAATATTATTATTAATTTTTTTTTTGAACTTTCAAATCTGGCATTTTCATTATTTTTCCAAAAAGTGTATTAATATGGTGCCAATAGTTTCCGTTCACAAAATTTATTAGACAATTCTAATTTTATCCTGAAATCTTGAAAGGAAAGTAGACAAATTTTTTGCACAGCAGAATCAACTTGAGTGTACCATATATCTTACCATTTCATATCTAGACTCAAGGAACCTTTGGTCTTGAAGAATTTGCCCCAACTCATCGTCCACAATCTGTGCAGCTTCAGGCCTCCCCTCTAAGGAGTTTGGCATGATATGACCAAGGATTGCCAACTGATCTACACAGTCCTCTAACACAGCCGAGATGTGCACTGCATCCAGACTTGATAACATGGTGAAATGACACAACCTAAATGATGTTCACACATAATTTTAACCCTATAAGCCCCCAACATCTACATACAAATTCTCTAGGCCAATCTACATACATTTCCTTGCAGAATTAGTTGTGAGAAATGGATAACAGATCAAAGCATTTTCCCTTTGATAATAACTTCATCAATTCTCAGAACCTTTTCTCTTGATAAATTTTTGACACTGATGGAGAAAAAATATTGATGCTGGTTGCTCTTTAATAGGACTTAAAGGGTTACAACTAACGCTTTGCTGTTTGTATGACCTACATGTAAATGCCCATTCAAAAACAATCCACGACAAATGCAGACTGTACTTATGTACACCCAGATATGCAGACTGGTAGGGTAAGCTTCTAACAAACAAACAAACAAGGCAAATCGAAGGAGGTAAAAATCCTTGTGAAATCAAAGCTATTCCAAGAATTAAAAAATTCTTAAAGTTTAGAAATAAGACCAGTTTTGAGAGGACTTCACAGCATTGTTTACCTCATTTACTTGCTAGTCTTTAGTATGCATTTATCACGTACTTTCATGACCAATTTCAACTGAAAGAAGCTTAAATTCCTAAAGCACTAAGCTTATTATCAATCAGGATCTGAACGGATTGCATCCTAATTTTTCTCCTGTGTCCCGTCCTATTTTACCGGTGCACCATCACACCTCCACCTATTTATACCCCTTCCTTGTCTAAAAACTACATCATAACTTGATTAGTTTAGATCAGAAAACAAACAAAAACTAGACAGTCTCCAGATCAAGTGCACATGCGAACCATCGATCAGAAATCTTTCTCCTGTATTGCCATAACTTTTACAGATTATCTTGTTCATATCGTTGACTTTCAAAGTAAAAGTTAAACCCAGTTGTTGTGTAATTTCCTTACCAGCCTGATTTCTTTCTTAGTAATCTTAAAATGGAGCGGAATAACCGAAGAATTCATGGAAACCAACTGAATCGTGTGTTCTTGCCGCCATCTTAGTTTGTAACTAAGCAACGTTTGTTTATGCGCATACCCTTGATTCTTTGCGCGCTCATTGTGAAGGGTCGCTCGTCCCAGGATCCTCGAATGCGCGCAGCGCACCGCTTAGTTGCTCGAAAATGATAAATACAATAAAACGAAACACTCTTAAAACCCACAGATTTTGATTTTAAAACTTGACTTTAGGCCTGATTGGTTTACCGGACTTTTGAAAAATTGACCACCACTCTCTGTACGCTTCACTGAAGGAAAACCAGATAGGAGCTTTTGGTCACTTTTGATAGGGCGTCAAAAGTGTGACAACGTTGCACCAAAACGGCGAACCATGGCAAAGCCGAGGGGTGAGAGACGGAGTTTGTTTTGTACATCAACGATATAACACCTTTGACGCGCGTCAAAACAAAGGATCTCTGTTATCTCTGCACCTTTTTAAGCCGAATTTATTCATAAGCTTTGTATAACCTTTGACGAAAGGGAAATTAACATGACTTTTACTACCTGAGACCATAAGGTTACTACAGTGAACGTCTGTATAACTAAGTCCTCGGTATGAGGAACCATTTTCTTTACCCCAGTAATAGTAAAAACATGAAAAAGAAACTCGATATAACGGGGGTCCCACGAATAAAATTTCCCAGTCGGCTAGGCCCTTCGTTATATCCAGGTTCTGCTGTATTGCTGGTCCAGGGATACAAGAAATCCGATATACTACATTTCAAAGTTGGGTATCTATCCTAAAGACCGATAAAAGTACAATAGAAACTTTTACAATCATTCTTTGAAAAAAGGGGGCCAGATTAAATCCTCTCTTAGCTTATATATAATAAAAGCTGACCAGATAAATAGACAGAGTACAGAATAGGGCTAGTGGGTGGTTCTTTGAGGCCGGCTGGTAGAAATACCTTTATAAATTTTCATTAATTCTCGCGACAATTTGCGACCATAGAATATTGCTTCAGGCTGTTTGTAGCAATGTCTTAATATTCCAAATTCCTAATCCTTCAGAGCGTGAAGAAAACACACTTCGTCGCTTTCGTGAACAACATGGCCGAGGCTACGAATGGAAAAAATTTGGAGACCCAACTCAAAAAAGTTGCTTTGGCATCCGCATGCACACTGACTGGACCAACAGGATATCAAGTGGAGCCGTCCAACGAAGGTAGTTAGCTTCCCTTAAGTTGATAGTTGCATAGTTTAATTCCACTTCTCAAGCGTAATGCGCTTCTAACATAATTTTTCCTCTTAGACTTCGCGGAGAGTTTAGAAGAAAGGGTGAGGAGAGTCAGGCAGGACCAAAGTGTATACAAATGGGATGAAAAAGAAGACGAATCAGGTAAAACTAAGACCTAATATTGCAGCAATTGTTTTCTAAGTAACTAAACTCTAGAAACAACAGACTCAAATTTTTATGTTGAGCAACGCCAGATTATAGTTCAGTTTTCTTAAACCTAAGTCATTTAATCGACACATACGTCAAATTTGTTGCAATACACAAGTTACCTTTTCGTTTCTAACACTGTTTTATAAACTCGTTTAGCTCATAGACAAGCCGGAAAAAAGCAAGCATAAACTTGTTACGGTTAACTGCATGGCTTCCGGCAACCACGTGGCTCCGCTAATGACAACGAATTGAAACGTTTGTGGCCGCATGTAGTCTTCAGCACTGGCCGAATCTGATATTCATCTTATTTACTTTCAGGGAAAGACTGATCTATGAAAGGACGCCTTGCATAGATGAAGAGACAACTGCCGCCTTCGATAAAAATGGACCTTTACCTGTCTTTAGTTGAAAAAGAGCACACTTATGGTTGCAGTAATAAATCACTAGTCCCCTCCCCCTCCCTCGCAAAGTTATTCAGAATAAATCATCTCAAGTAATTTGAGAGAAAGTTAACTGATGTCCACATCTTACTAAAATTAGTGCGATAGTCCCTACAGTTAGTAGGGAAGGATAAGTGGGGCCGAATGGGTAGGGGTGGAGGAAGAGGAAGGGAAGGAAGGTGAGAGTTCTAAAAGAGCGGTAGGGGGGAGAAATAGGGGGAAATTACGCAACAATGCCCAAATATTTCGCAGTCGTAAAAGGACTAAGGAGGGGAAGCTAAGAAAAAAGGGGCGGGAGCCGAGAGGGTCACAGGAGCATGATAAGCTCTTAAGCTATAGTCTTTGGAGACTGAAGGATATAAATACATGTACTGACGTCCGATTTTTAAAACCGTTAAAATCTCTCTTGTCCGTCACCCTATCAAGCAAGCGAAAGAATAGCCTGCGAGCAAGCTCTCCTATTTGGGCGAGCGGAGCGTGCTTGGCGAGAACGCACCACCCAGCCGCGAAGCTGCGAGGGGACCCCCGCTTCCGCGTCTCCTCTCGCGTGCTGCTTGCGCGTCTACTTTTCTTGATATCCCCCAAATGGAGAGCTTGCTCGCAGGCCAGCGAAAGAAAGGCTCTGCTAGCAGGGGGTGGTCCCTCAGCAGCTCATCGAAACAGGAGGCTCGAAGGTAGGTCAGCGGTTATTTTATCACAGCATGCGTTCGCGGCCAATTTTCAAGATGGCGGACAGCGATGAAGATACGTTCGCAAGTTTTGGAACTCCTTTCGAGATTCTGGAAGAAGATGCCCCGCGTAAAAAGGCTGTTCCAATACATGAACAAATTGTTACCGATACTGAAGGAAGACGGCGATTCCATGGCGCCTTTACCGGCGGATTTTCAGCTGGTTATTTTAACACGGTTGGCACGAAAGAAGGATGGCAACCTTCAACTTTCGTGTCATCACGATCGAAAAAAATGGAACAAAGAGCGCAGAGACCTGAAGATTTTATGGATGAAGAAGACATTGGAGAGTTTGGAATCGCTCCCAAAAGAATCACGACAAAGGAAAAGTTCTCGGTATTGGACCGAGAGCCTCAAAGTCGTAAACGGGTCGTAGAAGCGGATGACGCACTAAGAGTTATTCCTGGCGAACCCGTGTTACAGGATCTTGTCCTTCCAGTGAAAATGTCTGTCGGTGTTGAACTGTTAAAGAAGATGGGTTGGAAGGAGGGGCAAGGAATTGGACCTCGTGAGAGAAGATCAAAGAAAAAGGTAATTACAGGTGGTTTTCATGCAATCTCGGGAGACACAAATAACAATGGTGAAATGAACAAATGCTGGTGGACAAACAAAGCGAGCTAATGAGCGATGTTTTGTTCACAGTCCACCAGCATGGCGGTGATGACGTAACGTGAAAACCACCTATAATGCTGAGCTTATGTTTTTCACTTTTCGCTCTTCGTGTTCAATTCTTGCATTTGTAAGTTCAATAAATTCAATTACAGTGGCAGGATTAGCTCAGTCAGTGGAGCACTTGACTACAGAGCGGAAGGTTGAGGGTTCGATTCCCGGGGATGGACAAGTACTCAGTACTCCAACAAAAACTGGAGAGGCACTGATTGCCTCAAAAAGCTGATGAGCCATAAATTTTTAATTCAGATAGCAGAAGAACCATTCCTTATTAAAATCATTAAAATCCCATACTCTGGTTATTCTCATGTTATTTCTACCCACAAGAAGCATGACAATAGCTTTCTCTTCAGGTTTATGGTTGTTCCCTTCCACCTGGGCTTCCATCCCAAGCAATGGACCATAATCAGGAAGAAGAAGATATTTTTGCTGTTGGTCTTCTCTTTGCTCCAAAAGATATTGATGCCTTCACTTTTACACCAAAAGACAACAAGCATGGATTGGGATATAAAGGTTTGGATCCATCAACTGCATTGATCGGTCGAGATGACTGGCTTGGAATTGATCCTGTATCAAGCAGAGTAGGAAAGAAGGGCATCACTGGGGAGGTACGATTTAACCCATTAAGCCCCAATAGGCTCTTTGCCTGACTTGATCACGTGATCAACTTTCGGTAAACTGTTTTTGTGTTTACCGAAAGTTTATCATGTGATCAGGTCATGCAAAGAGCCTATATCCACATACAAATTCAACAAACTGATCTCCATACATTTCCTTTAAGAATTAGTTAAGAGAATTTGATAAAAGATCATGGCATTTTCTCTTTGGTGATCATTTTATTAATTCTCATAACTTTATCTCTTGACAATGTATGGATATTGTTAGGAGACATTGTTGGTCTTTATTGGCACCCAAAGGTTTAAGCCCAACTTCGTAATGATAGACTTTGTGTCCTACAATTCAGGAAGTAATTGGGCGAGTAATTTTAAATTGGCCAGTTTGAATTACAAGCCTGATTACCCCTGAATTGTACATGAGCTCTATTTAATATTACAAGTATGATTTAGACCAAAAGTGCTCAACACAAAGTTCAATAATTACTGCTTTTTTTCATCCTGTAACATGTTTTTTTTCTTGACAGTCATATTAGCTTGATCACTAGGTTTCCTTAGCTGATCTAGTTTGGTTTTAAAAATTGAAAACTTTTGTTATGTAGTTTTGAGAATGTGGAACAGCATACAAGGAACATGTGGATTTCTTCACATATGCTATTTATTGGTCGATTATGACGTGTATCATTGACTTTGTGTGACGATATACATCAAAACTAATATGAGAGACGACAGCATTAAGATATGACATTATCGCAGTTGCATTTGTTTCATTCAAAATTAGGTGTCAGAAGGTTGCATGACTTTGATTTAAATTTGATGTTTATGATTATTTTTCTCACATATTTTCTATTGCCATTGTAAAAGTTTTGAATACCTTAATTAACCAAAGTTTCAGTACGTGATATCGCAAAAATTAAGAGACTTATGTTCCAAAATTTAGGAAAATTGCCACATTAAAGTGCTGCTAAATAATGATTTTTCAAAATCACTTAATTACCATGTCACCAAAATTTCATGTAATGTGTAATGAGGTACAGCTTGAATCATGCTTTGGGGAGACAAGGCTACCTATACAAACTACATGTAGTTTGCTGTAATATTATTGTACTGTGCATGTAAAGTCATAATGTGATACTTAACAATTATTCCTTGAGCCTGAATGGGCTCTGAGTCAATAGCCCCATGAGACCAAAGGCCGAATGGGCTATTGACTCAGGGGCCATAAGGGCAAGAGGAATAATTGTTTTAGTAAAATCCAACTAGGTGGTCAATATCAAGACAAAACAACTCTAGCTAGTTAAAGCTAGACTTTAATCTTTTTTTATGCCAAAAAGCCGGCGCTTTTCACTACCATTGGGCTATAACGTATAGCCTAGTGGTAGGTCAACCAATCAGAATGCAGCATTGATAATAGACCACTAGTTGGATATCAGAACTCTGAGTATGCAAAAGGAAAGGTTTCCAATGTTATTGCTTGTTTATGCATGTAGGCCTTTGGTGTAGGTGCTTTTGAAGAGGATGATGATGACATATATGCAGTAGATCACATGTCAAACTATGACGCAGAGCTGACAGCTGATCGTAGTTCGGGTTTGCATGGTTGGACTGGTCCCCCTAAAGAAAGTGCCAGAGGTTAGTTCTTTAAATTCATGTCTCTTTGCTAAAACCTATCCCCAGTAGATGAACATGGGGAAATAGCCTGTGAATACAGCTGTCTCGCCTTGTTTCTCCCCACCAGGAATGTTCCTCAGGAGAGGCGTCTGCGCTGGAATGGCAGAAATGCCATATTAATGACATAAATTTATTAATAATTACATAATTGATCTAGAAGTCTGGGGTTTTTAATGTATATTTGGTTCACCTAGCTGTTGGGGGTGCCATACCTAAGGAGTATCGGATGGTTTTGTTTTTTTAGACTGATGAAGTTTGCTGCCTCTACATCATGATCTGCTTAGCGGTTTTCATTTGAGTGTCGAAAAGTAATTGGTTTTGCACTTTCTACACGATGCGATTGGCTTAAAAGATTCACGCCACCTTTTCATCCAATCAGAAGTAAAATCAAAGCCAATTGTGACCCGCTCGCATGCATTTTCCCGCGCTTTGCATCAGCCACATGTAATTACTTCGAGTTTTGATTGGTTCAATGTATTGTCTGTGTCCTATGTGATTGGCCAGAGTAATTACTTTGGTTTTGGTTTTACGACACTCAAACGAAAACCACTCTATGAATGCTATGACAAAGGGAAAGAAGGACATACATTGAAGTGCTTAGGAGGAAGTTGCCTGCCAAATTACATAGGATACCAAGTAGCCTGCGAGCAAGCTCTCCAGGGCACTCTGTTGGCGGGGTAGGAAAAGGAAGGAGAGCTTGCAACTATGTCTCTGGAATTTGAATATCTGCATTGAAAAAGTTGATGCGAAATGCTGATTGGCAGAGATGACACTAGTATTGATGTCATTACCTTTTTTAAGCGTTTACGTTCACACTTGTTTCCGCTTCGCACTGATTGGCGGAATTCTGACAGCTCACTCGACGGGGAGCCATAGAGGAATTGGAGGTGGAATTAAAATTCCAGAGACGTAATTGCAAGCTCTCCTTCCTTTTCCCTCCCTGCCTCCAGAGTGCCCCAGAGAGCTTGCTCGCAGGCTAGACACCAAGTGTAGCTGATGTTTAAGTGCACTTGCACCCAACATAACCTTGTTTGGTTGTCAGCTCCTTGTACTCTCTCATTCTTCCTACCTTTCAGAACATTTTGTGAGAGAGATGTTTTCATTCATTTTAGCTTCAGCAATTCCATACTGATGACATAAATCAATGTTTACGCAGCTACTCTGGTAGTTGTGGGCTTCCAGAGGCTTTAATCTTTTTAGTAGTTTCTTTTTCTCCCTGTTAATTATCAAGCGGACAGATAGTATGTCAGTCTATCAAAAGGCTGGATTTGGGATAGTAATAGAGTTTTACTGAATGAATGTTCTAAAAATAAAGTGGTTTTTTTTGTAAAGTTTACCCTTAAATGCTTATTTATTTGCATTTAGGTGGTGCACTGTCAATTTTCACAGCCACATCCAAAGCTGTGGATGCCATGAAATCCTTTCCTCCACCTGTGGTCCCACGAGACTTCAACTGCACTCACACATTTTCCAGTGCTACAACGGTGACAGCCCCAAAATCAGAAGAAAATAATCAAATAAAAAAGTCTTTGACTGCTTCAGACAGAGGGGAAATGCTTGGTGAAGAACCAATCCCCACCCCTAAGAAATCCGTTTTTGAGTTTATGTCTAAGGAGGACAAAGAGCGTGTTTTGTTGTCTTCGAAGGAGATAGTACCTAAAGCTTCTAGCTCGCCACCTACGGCTGTGAGCTCTGTGTCAAGTGCTTCATTCAATTTGTCCTCGAGGATCTGGTCTGGACATAGTAGTTTTAAGCCATTTGCAAAAGATGCAGCTAAACAAGCAAGGTACGAGGAGTTTTTGAAGACGCAGAGAGGAGAACAGGTCTCCCAAAAGCTTATTGACAGGTGAGTCAAATGTATTTTGTGCTTTGGCTTATAGCTAAGAACGTGCCCTAGACAGTTGCTGGCAGGGCTTACTTAGTAAGCAGAGGTGCTGCCCTGATCAGACTGCTAGAGATGCACACAAACTTATGGAGCAACATTTCATGTAGCCGGCGCGAAAAAAAAACACGCGCGAACTTATTTCGGTCTTGCCTAGTCCCTGTACGGCGTTTTCCCTCACATTTTCGCTTGGACCACGTGACCCGAAACGCTTTGGCCGCGCGAAATAATGAGCCTAGGGACTAGGTAAATTTCGGTCAGGATTGTTTGTTTGTTTTTATATTTATTTTAATGTTTGACTGTTGACAACAGAGTGAAGCAATCACAACCACATTTGGCGGGTCTGGTGCCAAATGCGTTTGTCCCCGTTTGGTAGAAAACGTGGAAGAAAGTACTTTAGACGTTATTAAAATTACTGTTATTATTTTTATTTTACTGCAGTGGGCTGACAGAGTGGGAGCGAGAGAGAGAACAAGAAGAATTTTCGCGCTCTGCTGCGTTGTACCGACCTCTTAACACAACAATGGCGGCAAGATTTACAACTGCACAGTATCAAGACGACCACAGAACTGTTTACGAGGACGTTCCTGCTCAGGAATCTTCAGACTCAACAGATCAAATTAAGGCTGCCAGCATGAAAATGTTTGGAAAATTAACTCGCGATAATTTCGAGTGGCATCCCAGCAAAATCTTATGTAAGCGTTTTAACATTCCGAACCCTTATCCCGGTTCCGATGTTGTTGGTGTTCTGAAAGTACGAAGGTCTAAGTTCACTCTTGGAGAGTTTATAACGCCAGCTAAACCGCATTCTATAACTAACGACCCGTCCACGAGATCTGGCGAAGATAGGCAATCCGACAAACTTGGTAAAAGGTCTGAAACTGCCGTGATAAATAAGGCGTTACCGAAGACTTCAGAATCAGTGTCGGTGACGTCTGAGTTAGTAGCAAGAACTTCCGCTAAATCTTCGTCAACAACAACGTCTGTCTCACCAGAAACTAATGTAGGAGTAACTGATGTACCAAAACACATGGAAGAAAAAACCACTAAAAAAGAATCACAAAATAACGGGTACATATCTGCTCCCAAGCGACCACCAATGGATTTGTTTAAAGCGATATTCGCTGATTCGTCATCCGACGAATCCGAAGCGAGTGAGGAAGGCGAAGATGACGATACCGAACGTTTATCGATCCATGCTTCGGGGGATCAAACAAGCAATAAAGAGGCTGTGAATAACAATAGTGAAGTAAACAGGGAATCAGATTCTCATATCACTCAACAGAGAATGTTAGAGGAAGGCTTGTCTAACGCGAAAAATAACGAAGAAGAACTCAAGCCTACTGAAGCCGAGCTTGTAACCGTGAAACCTCTTGAAGCTGAGAAACGGGAAACATCTCCTGATATATTTGGTCCAGCTCCTCCTCCTGTTGTTCGTAACAACGAGTTTTCACGTCCTCTCGAGAGAGAAAAACACAACAGAGACGGAGCTTATAGCAAGGAAGACTTGGAAAGTGCAAGGCGTATTAAGAAAGACAAACGTAAGGACACAAGAAAGCGTTACTCTGAATCATCAGACAGTGAGGAAGAGTACAAGTCAAAACGCAAACATAAACATAAGGATAAGAAGAAACACAAGCATAAGCATAAAGGCAAGAACAGACATCACGGCGAAGAGAGAGAAAAACACAAACTAAGTGACAAGAAAGATACCCAAACAAATGATTCCAGCCAGGCTGAAAAAATTTCTTTGTCAGATGATAAGCAGATTCTAAATAAGTTGAAGAATTTACAGAGTTTAAAAGCAGGGAAGAGGATGCGCGCGATGGATTTCATGTGAAATACATGTATGGTGATAGTTGTTTTACTTCGAGTTTTGATTGGTTCAATGTATTGTCTGTGTCCTATGTGATTGGCCAGAGTAATTACTTTGGTTTTGGTTTTACGACACTCAAACGAAAACCACTCTATGAATGCTATGACAAAGGGAAAGAAGGACATACATTGAAGTGCTTAGGAGGAAGTTGCCTGCCAAATTACATAGGATACCAAGTAGCCTGCGAGCAAGCTCTCCAGGGCACTCTGTTGGCGGGGTAGGAAAAGGAAGGAGAGCTTGCAACTATGTCTCTGGAATTTGAATATCTGCATTGAAAAAGTTGATGCGAAATGCTGATTGGCAGAGATGACACTAGTATTGATGTCATTACCTTTTTTAAGCGTTTACGTTCACACTTGTTTCCGCTTCGCACTGATTGGCGGAATTCTGACAGCTCACTCGACGGGGAGCCATAGAGGAATTGGAGGTGGAATTAAAATTCCAGAGACGTAATTGCAAGCTCTCCTTCCTTTTCCCTCCCTGCCTCCAGAGTGCCCCAGAGAGCTTGCTCGCAGGCTAGACACCAAGTGTAGCTGATGTTTAAGTGCACTTGCACCCAACATAACCTTGTTTGGTTGTCAGCTCCTTGTACTCTCTCATTCTTCCTACCTTTCAGAACATTTTGTGAGAGAGATGTTTTCATTCATTTTAGCTTCAGCAATTCCATACTGATGACATAAATCAATGTTTACGCAGCTACTCTGGTAGTTGTGGGCTTCCAGAGGCTTTAATCTTTTTAGTAGTTTCTTTTTCTCCCTGTTAATTATCAAGCGGACAGATAGTATGTCAGTCTATCAAAAGGCTGGATTTGGGATAGTAATAGAGTTTTACTGAATGAATGTTCTAAAAATAAAGTGGTTTTTTTTGTAAAGTTTACCCTTAAATGCTTATTTATTTGCATTTAGGTGGTGCACTGTCAATTTTCACAGCCACATCCAAAGCTGTGGATGCCATGAAATCCTTTCCTCCACCTGTGGTCCCACGAGACTTCAACTGCACTCACACATTTTCCAGTGCTACAACGGTGACAGCCCCAAAATCAGAAGAAAATAATCAAATAAAAAAGTCTTTGACTGCTTCAGACAGAGGGGAAATGCTTGGTGAAGAACCAATCCCCACCCCTAAGAAATCCGTTTTTGAGTTTATGTCTAAGGAGGACAAAGAGCGTGTTTTGTTGTCTTCGAAGGAGATAGTACCTAAAGCTTCTAGCTCGCCACCTACGGCTGTGAGCTCTGTGTCAAGTGCTTCATTCAATTTGTCCTCGAGGATCTGGTCTGGACATAGTAGTTTTAAGCCATTTGCAAAAGATGCAGCTAAACAAGCAAGGTACGAGGAGTTTTTGAAGACGCAGAGAGGAGAACAGGTCTCCCAAAAGCTTATTGACAGGTGAGTCAAATG